TTCTCCAAAGACCTGCGTATCTCGCCTGTGTTCCTACTGTGAGCTAAGAGGAGCCCTGCCTTCCTTTCTGTAAATGAGATCTTACAACAGGGACTTTAGATAACTGTAACACAAAGGATGCTACTCTTACATGTCACTGTCCCATGAGCAGAAACACATGCATGCACACACTAAGATGTCAGGAAGTTTAAATGACACTTTTTCCCTTCAGATTAGTGCAATGTAGACTGAAAAACTGCTAGCAGTGGAGTGACAGATTGGGAAGAGGGGAAGGAGAGACAGCAATGGAGTCTTCCCGGCCTGCCTCTGCCCAGCCTTGCATCCGCAGCAGCAGTTCCTCAGTGTTCCCAGGCCCCTGCAGCAGCTGACACCTGCAGTGCAGGTTCACGCAGGCGGAGAAAGAGGACACGGGGACAGGGCCTCACTACACATCTCCAGTCACACCCTTTGCTCCTTTGCATCACCCAGCTGGAATCTCAAGTCCAGCAACATCTGACAGTTGTTTCTGTCAGATACTCATCTTCTAGCTATTTCTCTTCCTCCTGGGGCATGAATCTTAGGAACAGAAAAGGGAGAGAAGCTTGATTTTCTGATTCATTCAAATTAGATTACCAAGACACTATGGCTAAGGTGCTGACATAAATGAGTGAGGCAACTGGCCTGGGATGGGGTTCTGTCTTCATTCATCTTTCCCTGGAGGGCTTTGAGCAAAGATAAAACCCTCTATTCCTCAGTTCCTTCATCTGTAAAATGGGAAAGTGTTATCTATTTTTCAGGACTCGAATGTCTACTATATAAGCTGATGCATATAAAGTCCTCAGTAAAGTTTCTGGCACAAAATAAGTTCCGAACACTCGGCAATAGCTTTTATTTCTGAAACTCTTATTTCAGCCTGTGTTTCCTACCCACTCAACCCTAGTGGTGGAGAAATAGTGTTAATTCAGATGAACTTTAAAGCATACCCCTAATGACCTGAATGTCCTTGGACTGCCTCTGGACAGCAGAGCTCTCCAGAAGCACCTGTGGGGTTGGCTGCTGTCAGGAAAACATCTTGTCAATTCAGAAATGCCTTCAGCCAAGTCTTGGAAAGGCTTGGACTTAGGTCTCTCACCACTGTGTTTTCCAAGGGAGAAGAACCCTGGCATGAATGGTAAGAGCTTAAGGTTACTTCTGGTCCAGGCCCTAGGAGTTTGCTTATCTCTAAGTGCTTTCTGGCTAGAACTACATTCTCAATACTCTCATCAACTGGGACCACAGTGAGAGCTTATTAGCCAAACAGTTACTATAAATTCTACTCAAAACTGTGGCACGATTTCCCAATTCTGTTCAATACTGCTAGGTACTCACACTTACTATTTGTTCAAAAGGTTTCCAGGTCAAATAGGTTGGGAAATCCTATATCAACCTTAGCACATTCACACTTAAGTTTTGACAGTCTGTCCTACTGTAAAGATATAATTAAGTTTGTGCATTTCCTCAGCATATTTATCTCTGGACAAAGCTCCTAGGACTGTCATCTGCAGCAAGGACTGTGACCATGGCAGAGGCTCGACAGAATGTAGCTGAGGAACAATGTCCCCCGAGAAGTCTGGCTTTCTTTCCTTGGCTGTTTGTGTCTCCCTGGGCATAGCTGATGAGTTCTCCAAGTGTCCTCCTGAACACTGGGAGTTGCTTCAGCAGATATGGAAATGGGCTATGGAAAGCTTGGGAAAATAGTTCAGACAACAAAACGTTTTAGAAGTTTGAACTGCAGGCTAACTACATGAGAAATGCAAATTTTTGATAACTTCTATTTGTGTAAATTAAGCATGTATAGGCATTAGCATTGCAGTAATTATTTAAGTACTATTTTTTCTTGCAAAATGCAACAGTGTTTGCAGATGTTATAGAATCTGGGTGTTGGGAATGTGGGAGTTCATGGTAAAACTTATTCAATTATTTTGTACATTTAAAACTTTATAATAAACCATTAGAAAAGATGTAACTCCCTATAACTTGCTTGTTCTGAAGGACAATATAATTTAATACAGTTTTTATATTCTTTCTTCATTTCACATTGAAATATATTTTATCTGTTTAAATAATTTTTAAAGCTTTTGATCTAGTAAGCAGGACTATAAATGGATGTTAAGGAATTGAAATTAGCAATAGGAAATGACTGTGTAAGTTGTAAAAATGTTTACAAGACAGAGGTAGCCTGCTCATGTGTGGCTAGCACATTAGTGCTAACTTTTTACAGGGTTGTTATTATATCCTTTTCACAGATCGGTAAACTGAGATGTACACACTTATGCAGCTGAGTGATTCACTGGTACAGCTGGGATCCTCTGTGCCTTGTCTCACAGCACAAGGGACAAATGCTCTCTATTCCCCATCAGGGAATCCATCTACAAGTAAAAGATGCATACAGTGCTTCATCTGAAGGGTTTCCAACATTTTTGTGTTTAAATAAGTGGGACCATCCGATTAAAATGTGTATGAGTGAGATGTTCTTATTACTTGTTGGATACACTTGCAAACAGCTCTCCATCTTCAAGCTGCTTACCCTTTCAGGATGCCCATGCATTTTAAAACGAACAATGCCTGTCTTTTTTTAATTCTATGATTGCTGGCGTTCATTTTGGCAACAAACTTAATTTTAGCCATAGGTCTCTGAAGGAACCTCACTTTCATACATTTAGAACTGCAAAGAATCTTAGTATTTCTTTACGTGGAGAGTAGCAAACTATGGGTTCTTACTTAATAATGGTTCCTTTTCAGAAATTTAGACTTTTTTCCAGAACACATAAATGAGAACTAAAAAATGCTTCTTACATCATCAACATATGTTACTGTTAGAACCCCAGGAAAATCCTTAATATACAAAACCCACTTGTCTCCTGGAATGAGTCAAGCTTTGGTTGTCACGGAGAATGTCTGAACTTTGTGTGCGCGCGCGCGCGTGTGTGTACTGTATGTATCCATGGACTGTGACGATTCACATTTTATTAAAAGGCCCAAGCATCTTAATCTTAAGAGAATATTCCATGTTCTGTACCAACACCATCTGGTAAAGCAGTCATAAAAATGACTTCATTCAGGGCAACCTTTTTAAAGTATTTGAGTCAAATTGTTTGTAAAATATTTTTATTCTATGTGAATACAGACGGGGACCCTTTGTGCCAAGGTCTGGGCTGCACCCTCAGCAGTGTCAGGGTTGGTCCTCGGGGAGGGAGAAGACAGCACTGTGTACTTCCTGTCCAGAGAAGGTTTGCTTATTGCTTGCATATTTATTTAGTAGTCTCATTCCTATTTACTGGAATTTTTGGCCTATTTAAAATATGTAATTTTCCCTCCTGATTGCAAAAATTTACACATATTCATTTTAAAGATCTAGAAAACATACAGAAGAAAATAAACATTACCAGCAACAAGCACCATTTACACCTTGTGAAGCATTTCCCTCACTATCAAAATCTAACAGATTTCTGAGTTCCAATATAAACTTCTCTTTTGCTCATATGGAACAAAACAAAACAAAACAAAAGGAAATTTAATCTCCTTGGTTCCTAAATAGGGAAAAGAATCTGGATAGAGGGAAGTGGGATACAAAATCTAGAGAGGAATCTAGATGCAGCTATCCATGTAGCTCTATGCATACGCGGACTGCTAGAAGGTATTACTGAGAAAATAACATTTTTTGTTTTTATGGTTTTTTTGTAAAACCTGTCTTCTATTTTTAAGTACCAAAGGCCATTTAAGTTGGACAAGAAAGTTTTAGCTTCTCCTATACGTGTCTCCTTTCTCCTACTTTCTTGTAATTTCTACAAGTTTGGACCTATATACTTTTTGATGTAATATTTCTGAAATATATCTAAAGACTACCGCTATAAAAGGGTTCTTTGTAATTATAGGTTTATAATTCAAATGATCAAAATATTGTGCTGCTGAATGTTTTAAATCAAAACTAATTTTTCCCATAATATACAATATTAGGTATTTACACACACATTTTTAGTTGTTATACACAAAATAAAACCATGGGTGAAGCTGACCTCTGTGTTAGCAAGTGAACTCCGTGTTTGCTTTCTTTTGTAGAAGTCTGAGTTCTTTCTGAATTGCATTAATGCACAAGGAAGCCAGATCTGGTTTCCCAGATAAGAACCCTTCAAGACAGAAGTGTTCCTGAGCACAGGAAATCTGTGAGCCCCTGAAGGAGGCAAGGCAACTCCAGAGAATTTCCCCACCATGCTCATTCCTGTCTGGGCACAGAACTGACACGGAGATGTAAAAGCACACTAATCAGGGAAAAGGAAAATATAACCATGTGTTTTTAAAAAAGAAAAATCACATTACTCGTATACATAATGTGGTAACCAAAACCCAAACATAACTGTATAGGAATCCTCAGGGTAAAAACTTGAACTTCCTTTTAACCCTACCCATGTTCGTGACAGCCTGGGCAGGAACATCTCTCTCTGCACTTAGTGGACAAAGCGCGCACACAAAGGCAAAGAAGGGTGTGTCGTCACAAACTGAGTCCAGGAACTGAAACTTTCCTAAGAATATCATACTCAGGTATTTTGTAGAATAAGGTAAATTTAAAGGTTTTAGCTTATAAAAATTGGGATTATCTATTATTCCTTGAAGATGTGAAAGCAGTACTTTCTCTCACAGTTGATTGTGTGTGCCCTGGGCAGTGGGGAAGGAGCAGGTGGAACAATGAGGAAAGCCTTAAGAAAGTGAAGAAGAGCAACATTCTAACAGTTTTCCATCTATTTACCCATCCACCATCCAAAACAGTGATCAGTACCTTTGAACTAAACAAAGACAATTTGTGAAAGCTTTCCTCATTTAAATAACAGTCAGGGTAAGCAACATGTACTCCTGAACTACCCAGCCTTAAAATGAAAGCAGCATGCGATAAACACATGCACATTATCGAAGTTTGTGTGTCACCACCTCTGGGTCGTGCCTCTTACCTACAGGCCTGGCACAACACCAATCGATTCCGTTCCTACCTCCACGTAGTCCTTGGCATGGCCCCAGTCTCGTTTGGCATCCAGATTTCCCAAACTGAAACATTCCAGTTGTCCAAGGTAAATCTTAGCTACTGACCGGCTAATTTTTCGAGTAACAAAATTAGCTCCTAAAAAGAGACAAAAGATGTATTATCAGTGGAGCACATTTTGACATTTAACAGTTTGGTGAACCAAACCCAGTATCAGCCTCTGGGCATTTCTTTCATTCTCCTTTCCCTTCCCTCAAAATAATAAAAGAAAATAAAAAGATCATTAACTGTCATTTAGACAAGTTAAGAAGCTCTAATTCTAAGTGTCACATCAGCTCTACTTTCATAACAAACATTTTTTCTTTGGGGGACATCTTAACATTCTTAATTTGCTGCTTCAATATGCAACCCAGGCATTAGGCCAAAGAAACGCTATTGGAATGCCAGTTTTTAAACAGAGAAGTCTAAAGGGTTGTATAAAGGGAAATGCCAGAATGGAAGACATACATCTAAGACCACCCTGATTTTTTTTAAGAACACAAACATCATATATTCCTATTAATAAGGCTATTTTGGGGCCCATGGGAAGAGGAAAGAAAGTAACTTAGTTCACAGGGTATATGTAGTTAAAGGAAACAAAATAGAAATGTATTTGGGCTGTCTTTTGCTTAACAAAATAAGTGGTGATCACTCTTATTTAGAAACCTGTATGGCCATTTGCATGAAAGTATGATAGGGTTTTCGTCAGAAGTTTCTCTGTACTATACTTACTGCAACAGAATTTTCCAGCTTCATATAAATGGCATCTACAGAAATGGGGTCCTGAATTTGGTACGAATATTTTGAAGTGACTGCCTGAAAGGTACCATAAATTGAAGGAACTATTTATATTATTTTAATGTCCTCTGGTTTTTAATGAAAACATTTTATTTTATTTTAGAGATGGGCTCTCACTAAGTTCCCTAGACTGGTCACAAACTCCTGGGCTCAAGGGATTCCCCTAGGATGATAGCCTCCTAGGACTACAGACACACATCTGGCTTTTACCAACTTTGAGAAGATCACAAAGAAAGACAAAATTAAAGACAATTTTATCTGAATCCCTGTATGTAGCAAGCTTATCAAAGAACATCATTTAATGCCAAATTCTTAAAGTAATAACATACATCTGAGCTAGTTCATAATGGGTTCACACAACTCAGATACGCTAATATCATAGCTTACCACATATCAGGAACTTCACCTTTGTTCTCTTGCAGATGAAGCAGGAGGCAAATATGATGAAAGGTTTTGGCTTCTTGAGAAACTGGCACAGGAGTAAGGGGACTATTTCTAAATAGGGTTTCTAAATTTTGTCACGAATATGGCCTAGCACAAGTTCAAGCACATACTAGACTTACTACACCAACCTGGTATATACATTTATACCAATCCCATGTCATGAAAAAACACAGTAAGACTGCCATGGAAATCCAGATATTTAATCTCCCATTGCAATTCTTAGGGTTTATGAAGAAACTAAAGTTTCAACTTTCCAAAGCAGTTTATTAAACACACAGAGATCCTTCAGGAAAGCCTTTTAAAATGAGGACACATTTATTAGACACAATTCTAAATCTATTACTGGTCAGCAAAATTTTATTTTTTACTGACTTGTAACAATTAAATTTAATTTTATAATTAAATTTAGGTCTCTTGATGTTTGTCTTTACTTTAATGTCAGGATTATACTATCAGTCCAAAATATACTAGGTACACTAGTGATGTTAATTATTAGACCACGTTCCCAATACAAAAGTTTCGATTTTCCTGTTTACTAGTGAACACTGTGCAGGAATCCAGCGAACGCATCTGATCTTGAAGGATTACTTATTCTAACAAACAGCATTGCCTGAGCACCTGCATAGCACAAGTCCCGCGCTGGGCCCGGGCATCTGGGCAGGAGGAAGCAGTCACTGCTGCCAGGTAGCATAGAGAGGGGGAGAGGAGCCAGCTTGTCCATGCTGACCCCTTTTATCGTTTTGTTTTTATATCTGGACACTCATCCATTGTTAATCAACTGTTCTGTAAGTGTGAAGAAAGGGTCCAGCTGAATTCATTTGCATGTAGCTATCTAGCTGTCCAGGCACTATATGTTGAAAAGGTTATTCTTCCCCCCCTGAATTGTCTTGGTGTCTCTGGTGAAAATCAATCATAAATGGGAGGGTTCATTCTGACTTTCAATTCTATTCCATCAATCTAATGTGTTGATCCTGTGTCAGTACCGGAGTCTTCATTACTGTAGTTTTATGCTAAGTTTAAAATCAGAAAGTATCAGTTTTCCAAATTTACTTTTTAATGAGCTATTCTTGTCCTTTGAATTTCCATATGAATTTTAGGATCAGCTTCTTGATTTCTGCAAAAAGTTCAACTGGGATTTCAATAGGGATTGTGTTAAATCTGTAGATGAATGTGGGGATTATTTCCAACCCAACAATTTTATGCCTGAGGCACATGAACACAGGATGCCTACTTACCTAGGTCTTTCACTACTCTGTTTTTGGGGGTTTTTTTGGTACTGGGGATCAAACTCGGGACCTTGCGCTCGCGAGACAGGCGCCAGAACCACTGAGCTAAATCCCTGGCCCTTTACCTAGGTCTTTTAAAATTTCTTTCAATAACATTTAGCAGAGTCCAGAGAAATATTTTATTCTTTTCTTCTTAAATTTGTTTCTAAATATTTTATTTGTTTTCACCTTGCAAATAGAACTGTCTCCTATCGCAACTAGAATTGAAAATAGGATGGGAAATAGAATTGTATTCTTAATTTCATTTTCAGATTAATTTTAAACATTTTGTTTTGCAACCTCATGTTTCACTAATTATTAGGGAAAGCTTAAAATGACTTTTCAAAAAATCTGTTCCCTGCATTTTTACTCCTTATCCCACAAGACCACTGTTTTCGGGAGGGAACTGAAGGAAATCACTGAACATGACGGCTGAGACCTTAAAAGTGACTCTTCCCAACCATCCCAAATATACAGGTGAAGCAGAGAGGCTGGGGCTGAGCACCTGCCAGCAGCCAGGAAAAGTGTCCGAGCCTGTGGGGAGCCTGTCCCTGGCTTTCTGGCCTCAGGCTGCATGCATCTGCCTCCAGCACAGCACAGCACAGCGGGAGGCGCCCTCCCCATGACTTGGTTGTGGTGGCTGCTAACTGCACCACCTATGGGATAGAAGACACCTATACTTAACTAAGTACAGGCCATTTGCATGGACCTAAACCCGAAGACCCTAGTTAGGAAGAAGACTAAGAAACGGTAGCCCAATGAACTGAACAAAGGCTGGCTCTGTTAGTGGTTTGTGCCATCTCACCCAAACCATTTAAAAGCTCTTGAGTTATAGACTTATCTGTAAACCACCTGCATATTAACCACTTACCAGTCCAGTGATTCAAATACAGGATGGCCAAAAAGTGCATATTTTTCACTAATTTTTATAAGATAACAGGAAATACGAAATGACAATTTTATCAAATTTCTTAATACAAGAATGGACTGGGTGAAGTGACACCTGCTGTTGTGATGCTCTGTGCAAACTGGTAAGTGGCTGACATCTGAGATGCCAGACCACAGGGCACACTAGTCCTGATGAAATGGCATCACAGGCCGTGAGCCACTTCAGATGCATAAGGAGTATCATCATGCTGTTGCTTGTAAAATGATAACAGTTTTAATAAGAAAATCCAGATAATATAGTCACTAAGAAATCAATGCTAACATTATTACAATTATTTCATTAAAATGCTCATGGTATCTACAATTAAGTCTCAATGAAAAGTTTCAATTTCTAACTGCTCTTTCGACCATGTCTCATAATTCTCTGATTTTGAGAGTCTGAGATTAAGCACACATCTAAACAGTCACTGCCAACAGCAGGCTGTGGACTCACACAGGAAACACTAACAAATACTTCTTGAACCATTTCAGGTTACTCATTCTATATCAACTCATTAAGCCAGGAAAAGGCGAGTACACATAAGAAAAGAGATCAGGGCTGGCTGGGCTGGGGATTTAGCTCAGTGGTGCCACCATGTAAGGTCCTGAGCTTGATCTTCCGTACCAAAAAAAAAGAAAGAAAAAAAGAGATCAGGGGTAGAGTTTAGAGTTCTGCTAGCACTGATACAATGAAGACAAAACAGCAGAGGAGAAAAAACACAATACTAAAACCACCAATGTGCTGGGTGATATTTCTTTAACTGCAGAGCTAGGCCTCTAGCACTAAAGGAAAGCAGACAGGCGAAGTGGGGGTTCCGGCCCACAGCCTGCAGGGCACCGGGGAGTGTGGCAGAGAGAGCCCAAAAGCCTCCTTAGGACCTGGAAACACCCAGGCAGGACAGAAGGTGAGATCCACCAGGCTGGGTGCTGGAAGGAGGTTGACACACTGTGCTAGTTATCTATCAGGACCTGTAATTCTGTGACTCTTATCAGCACCACCACCGCATGGAGATGTCTAAAGCTCCCAGCAGTCCTATCAGTAGACGAGATCACAAGCTGCAACTCAGGACTAAAGGAGCCACTTCCACCGCAGCAGAGCACTGCCCACTGCACAGCACAGCTCAGTGCAAATGCCTGCCGGCCTGCACTTCTCTATTGCGACTGTCTTTCAAAACAGCAAGCTTTCTTTTTTTCTCTTTCATTTCTCTTCACGTGAGCTTCTCTGTAGCAAACCCAACGCTGGGTAAAGAGTATTACAGTGTTTTGTTCACACTACTTCTCATCTCTTAAGTTTTAAAAAATATTTTTCATTTATTTTTCCCTTTCTGAAATAATCCAGGCAATTTCCTCAGATCCATTTAGTTTTCCTCCAGCAAGCTAATCTAAAATTTAAACTACTCAATTCACTCATTCATCTTTCTTTTCTTTTGGAATAAAGTTCTCTTTGGTTCTTTTTAAATTCTGCCTGGGTATTGTACATTGTTGTTGCGTGTTTGCTTTTTGTAGCTTATCATTTTCTTACTTCAATGTGTTTTAGTAATTTTATATTGTGAATTGGATAATTTCAATACTTGACATTCTTGGGGAATTAATTTCTTTTTTTTTTTGGTACCGGGGATTGAACTCGGGACCTTGGGCTTGCACGGCAGGCACCAGAGCCACTGA